TCGTGACGATCACCAGGAAGCTCGGCAGCACGGGAATCAAGAAGATCGCCAGGAGGAAGGGCTGGAAGGGCCGCGCGGTCATCATGAAGCTCGTGGTCATCAGGAAGATCACCAAGCTCGTCAGCAACTGCATGCACACATCCACGAAGGCTCCGAAGATCATGAAGGGCACCAGCATCCTCACGCGGCACACGAACGTCCTGAAGACCACCAGGAAGCACCACAGAAGGGGCACGCTCGCCAGGAAAATCAAGAAAGTCCGCACCACCATCATCAGGAAGCCCACGAACGTCATCTGGAAGCTCGACAGCGCCAGCATGCACACGTGGCTCACGAACGTCATGAAGCCCACCAGGAGGAACTTCGGAAAACACACGATCATCATCATCAGGAAACCCACCAAGGCCATCCAGAAGCTCGCCAGCACCACGAACGTCCTGAAGCTCACCACGATGAACTTCGGAAAGAACACTCACACCAGGAACATCAGGAAGCACACCAAGGCCATCAGGAAACTCGTCAGCATCTGCATGCCCACGAACGGCTTGAAGTCCACCAAGGAGGAACCTCGGAAAGAAAAGGCTCGCCAGGAAATTCAGGAGGGTCTGAGCCACCACCAGCGGGAAGCACATCAGGGCCATCTGGAAGCTCGTCAGCATCTGCATGCGCACGGTTATCAGGAATATCTCCTTGTAGAACACCAGGAATCTCAGATGGAAGGTCGTCACGATCACGATGAGAAGTCTGTATATTGTGGTCAATACCGATCCAATGGTACAGCATCAACGGTGTTTGTGTTCCGACCTCCGCGAAAGAGTCACCGATGTAGAACTCAGCAGCACCAAGGCACTTGATGGCATTGGTGTGACGGATGACGGCAAAAGGCGATGTCGATCCTCTCGACCTTGCGAGCGATCTCCGGGGTGAGCAGGCCTGCCCGTTTGGCGGCACGGGCTGCGACCGTCGCGCCCACGTAAGCGCATGGCATGGCCTCGCAGAGCAGCCTGAAGCACGAGCCATGGCAGGCAGCCAGGAGCTGGGCGGGCTCGCCGGAAACCGTGAGGGCATGAGAGACGGACCCGACCCGACAGGGCAATGCCGCTTGAGCCAGAATGGCTACGGATGATGATGATGATGATGATGATGATGATGATGATCGCACTCCCCTGAGCGCGCCAGAGAGGGGGGCAGTTCAGCTGCCCTCTGCCGCGGGCCTCCTGATGAGCAGGCTCCGCACGCCGCGCCCCTTCTTGGCAATGTGGCGGGCGCGCGCGCGCAGGAGAGGCAGCAGGCATTCGGGCCCGTACCTGTGCGAGCTCCTCAAGGAGTTAAAGGTAGAAAAGAGCAGGTCGTGGACAAGAAACAAAGAGAACAGCTGCTGACTAGACTGGCATGGCATAGCGCACAGCATACGCGCATCGAGGCTCTGATTCAAATATTCGACTGGCAGGAAGGGCAAAACAGAATGGAGCAAGCTCAGGACATGAGGGCAATCGAAGTAATGCTGGACGTGGTCGCCGCCTGTGGCCAGGCAACCGAAGCGGCAGGTAAGACGGCCTTGCCTATACCTGGCAGAGGTCGCCCACGCGTTGCAGATGGTTTTGAGAATGGCCGCAGCCACAAATGGGCCGACGCGCGTGCAGGCAATTTGGGGCCTGAGCACCGCAAGGTCGATACTAGAGGCATCAGCAAAGGGAAAAGCGAACCGAATTCGATTGCCCAGGAGAAAACTCGCGGAGCTACAAGGGGCCTCAGAAATCCATTTCTTCAAAATCTGTCTCTGCAACTCGTGAGTGTCCTCATCGAAGTGGTTCCACGGCAGGGCAGTTAGTCGCTCGTAATTGTGAATCAGGTGGAAAACAATGGACTCGGCACGCCATGCCGGGTATCGCTTGACCATCAGAACATCCAAGTCCTCTTCCTCAAGCTCATGAAAGCGCTTCCGAATGCTATCAAAAACCTTAGACCGAACAGCGACCCGATACATGGCAGCCTGATTCTCCAGCACTAGGTTGCGCGGGGCAATGGGCCAATGCAACGCAGACGAGAGATTGCGGAGAAGATCAGTAGGGATGCTGTAGAAGGGGCATGCGGTGAGAGTCTGCAAACCTTTGGTTTCCATGCGAAGAGCGTCCTGCGATATGTAACATAGCTGCATCACGAAGGTGAGAACCGAGAAGGCCAAGGAGTTATATGCATAGATACTTTGAGTAAGCCCAAGACGAAGCGACCGAACATGACGGACACGATTAATATATTTCTGAAGCGGAGCGGACCAGGATTTCTTGTAACCTCCAGGGCCCAGAAAGACACCCAAGACTTTGCCACTAGTGCCGTGCATAAGCGAGCGAACGTTGGTGCGAACGGACTCGAACAGGGCGAAATGCTGGTCGTCTGGCATCTCTTGCACGTGCACGATCATACACTTGGCAAGGTTCAAGAGCAGGCCAGTGCAACGGCTGGACCTAATAACATTCTTCAGCACAATCGGAACAGCGAGCAACAGGTTGGATGCCGAGATCTGGATGTCATCTGCAAAGGCACGAGGGGTAGCACAAACAGGAGCTAGCAAGTTAGATAATCGGCGCAGCAGCGGGTCGATGCATAACGCAAATAAAGCACCCGACAGCGGACATCCTTGTTTAATGCCTTGGGTGATCGAGTAGCCTGGAAACTTCTTTCCTGCTAGGCATATGTGTGTGTAAATACCGGTGTATAGGAACCGAATGGCATTCACGATATACATGGGTATGTTCATCATGATTAGCACATCTATGATCCAGTCGTGGCGCAGCGACGGGAACGCGGCGCGGAAATCCAAGAGGAGTAGCCCAGCGTGCGGCATGCCGCGATAGCAGGCGTATTCAAGAATGTCTGCCTCAAGGCAGAGTAAGTTGTCGAGCATAGACCTCTTGCGCACGAAACCCGTCTGGGAGCCTAAGACGCTGTACTGGCATTGCTGGCTAAATGGTTCACATATGGCCAATGATACTATTTTGTTATCAGTGTTGCTGAGAGCAATAGGGCGAACCACAGACGCTTCCCGAGAGATCTCAGAGGTTCCAGCTTCGTGAGGGCAGATGGCCTTAGGGAGGTATACCGTGAGAGACTCGTTGAAGCCTTTATGCGGGGGCCCATATGTAGGATTGTCCAATATAGCGAGATAAACTTGATACAAGGCATTGTGAGCAGCGTCTCCAGCGAACCGCCAGGCACTGTAGGGAATTCCGTCAGGGCCAGTCGCGCTGTCCTTGCGGCTGACGAGCTTACCTATGAAGCTGTGCAGGTCGAGCGTCCACTCGATACCTGGGGCAACCTGCTGAATCTCACTGCTCAACAGTGTCTTCTGGAAGTGGTATCCCCTGTCCTGAGGCTCCGCGGCATGGACCCGCCCCCAGTGGGACGCAAGGTTCTGAGCACTGACTTCGAGATCAGGCGAGGGGTTCCCGGTGGGGTCGGGGACCGAAACCAGAACGATTCGGCGCCTTTTGGGAGACCACTGTCGCAGAAGCTGGTGCAACCTGAGGCCTCGATCGTCGTCAGGGGCTCCGCCGCCTTCGACGTGTTCGCGAATTTCTCGCTGAAGCAGAGAATGCTGGAGCTCGGCCATTTCCCGATAAAAAGACACAGAATCTCTAAAACAACATTCATCAGCATGAACATGTAGACTAAGATGAGGAATAGCCTGGATACACCTCCGAACGTCCCAAGACTTGCCATCCCGAACAGCCCGATGATGATGATGATGATGATGATGATGATGATGAGGATGAGGATGATGATTATGATGTTGATGATGCCCGTACCACCTGCGGACATCTGGGTGTTTATTGAGCGAGCCGCACGGCTGCCATTGCCAGGCGGTCCGTCAGAGCGTGAAATTCTTTGTGATCATGGTGTTGGCGTGCGTGAGAAGCTGCTTGGAGATGTCTGTGCATGAATTTGTGGTGCGTCTCACAGGCGATTAAGACTGGGTGGAGGTCCTCCAGACGCTTGGCACGAAGACCAATACATTCGAGTCTCTGGGTAGGTGGACGTGCGCCCAGCTTGGAGTACACAGTGGGCCAGAGCGGGAGGCAGTCGGCGTAGTGGGGGCCCAGTCGTCCGCCGCAGGGCATCCAAACAGGCACCTGTGACGAGTTCCATCATGCGTCTTCGCATTGGTCGTCCACCCGCCCATCCAAGTCTTCAGGCACGAGGACGAGATACGAATTCGAGCTTTCCTCATCTTTGCAACTCGGGCGTCGTAATCGATGCCAGTGATGTCGCTGGTATGCTCCGGCTAGTGGCGGTGCAGACGGGCCTTGAGCATGTGCCGAATGCTCAGCTGGAAAATCATCTTTTTAAGCATCTAATGACCACTTCTCTGCGCACCTTTCTTCGAGTCTGGTTTCTTGGAGATCTCGTTGACGGCGGCTGCCGTGACCCTCTGAAGGTCTCTGGAGACGGGCAATGGCTGCGTCGTGGCGACGCGGTCGAGAGTTCTTGCAATTGCTGGCGTCTTCCAGTGTGTGGCCCGCGGAACAGGACGTGCGAGAGCAGCGAGAGGACGATCCGCAGAGGCACGATGGAAGGAGGAGGAGGATGAGGAGGAGGAGGAGGAAGAGAGGAGGAGGAGGAGGAGGATGACGAGGAGGATGAGGAGCAGGAGGACGATGAGGAGGAGGAGCGCGGCTACGCAGGCCAGAGAGACGGGGATGACGCCGATGGCGCCGAACTCGGACGCTCGCGCCGTCCCACGAGTGGTGAACGTTGACGGCGGCACGTGCCAGAGCTTGTTAATGATGACGTTCTCGGTCTGCACGAGGGCGCGCGGCGGAGGTCCGAATTGGGCAACGTACTCCTCCATCGTGGTGGAGGTGGAGCCTTTGGCCTTGGAGTGTGCGCCTGCTCGCTGCTGCCATTTCCTCGTGGGGGCCTCCCACATCTCGTTTGTGGTGTTGGGGCAAATGAGATACCCGAGGTACATCGGTCGCAACCTGCACGATGGCGAACTGAGCCTACTCGGGGACGATCGCCTGCAGCCAGTCCCAGACCGACTCGATCAGCTGGAGCACGAAAGTGGCGTAGAGAGGGACGAGTTGGCATTTTTTTGGTTTTAGCTGGGGGTCGGCGCATTTTTGCATGTAGTTGAACGTGTTGGCATACTCCCTCAGCGTGCTGAGCTCGAAGGTCGCGGCGCCCACATCGTCCGCGCAGCTACTCGTGGTGCCAAGCCCTTTGAGGTCGACGGTGCGTCGCACCCTTTCCGCGAAGTGGTGCGTTGACACGGCGTAAACAATACTGCTGACAGGGCAACCCTGCAAGGAACCACCCTCGAAGAAGTAGAGGAAAATACCTGAGATGAAAGCCATGCTCAGGTGGTAGACGCCCTGCAAGAAATCGAGGATACCGTGCGGCGCTCCTAGAGCCTCGTCAGAAGCCCAGATCCAGCTGTGTCGCAGGCTGGGGAAAGCAGCAGCTGTGTCCCAGAAGGCCAGGACTGGCCTTCGATGTGCGTTCGAAGGGTGGCCGTATGTTCAGGCCGCGCAGTCGAGGCCGACGATCGTCTGGGTCAGCCGAAGCCGAGCAACGAAGCCCCGCTGGATGGAGGAGACGCCCTTGGACGCGACATTCCGCAACAGAACGCTTACTGTGCCGCAGCAAATTTCGGTGTCGGTCTTTTCGAGGCTCAACGGCCGGGCATCTTCCGGCTTCGGGATGATCTCACCAGCGTCGCCTGCCTGAGAGCCTTTCGGAAGGACGCTGGGCTCGGACACGGTGAAGGTGAGCGGCATCGGGAGACCGGCGGACCTGTGGGACGTGACTTGAAGCAAGGTCTCCGCGCCCCCGTCGCCTGCGTGCTGCCATGCCAGAAGGAACAGGCGAGGCCGTCGGGGCCAGGGCTCGAGTCGGTCGCGCGCTTGAGAAAACTCTTGATGAGGTAGGTGGAGGGTGCCGACACCGAGCTCCAGTCGAACGGCACGGCCCAGCGCAGAAGGAACTCTGTGGTGAGGGAGGCGTCGGTCATCTGCTTGCCGAAATGTTGAGCCCATGCGCTGGCCAGTGCCCTGGCCTGGTCCTCTGGGTGGCAAATAACCATCATGATCATGGTGATGATGGTGATGATGATGGTGATGGTGATTGTCAAGATGATGATGCTGCTTATGATGATTATGCTTCTGATTTTGATGATGAAGACTCTGATGATGAGTATAATGATGCTGATGCTGATACTGATGATGGTAATGATACTGATGATGCTGCTGATGCTGATGCTGATGCTGATGATGCTGATGATGATGAGATGAGGAGGAGGATGAGGAGCAGGATGAGGAGGAGGAGCAGGATGAGGAGGAGGACGAGGACGAGGATGAGGATGAGGATGAGGATGAGGAGGAGGAGGAGGAGGAGGTGCGGCGCTTCGTTTTCCAACGTCCGAGCAACGCAACAAGGAGGAGGTGACGACGACAACGATGACGATGAAGCGCATGATGCTGCCGATGATGACCATCTTCAGCTTTTGCGGGCATGGGCGCGCAGGTGCTGATATGGTGGCGGTGGTGACGAGGACGGGGGAGGATGGGAGGCCGATGAAGAGAGAGCGCGCCACTTTGGACAGTGTCACCGTCGAGGCCCCGGAGCCGCACGTGCTCAGCGGACCCGCCTCACAGAGCGGGAGACGCCGCATGCTGATGCGAGGGGGTGGGAGGCCCTCCCCCCTGGCTCGGACCAGTGGGTCCCCACGGCCGGCGGTGATCAGACCGAGGAGGCAGAGGCCCAGACATCCGGCCGCTCCAATCTTTCGTTCGTGCGCGTGCCCCCAAGAAGGTCTGGACCACCTCCCCAGGGCCGGCTTCTCGTCCCGCACTATTTTGTTTTTGACGGCCACGAGGCCCGCCGGGGGCACCCGGAGGCCGAACACGGCCCCGGACCCGCCAGCTGTTGTTCGGGGCGTCGGAGCTCCGGGAGGCACGGGGTGGGGGCGGGAGGGGGGAGGCCAGCTTGGCCGCCGCCTTGCCGAGGCCCTTCAGGAGCTCCTGCAGGTCCTGAGGGCGGCGGGGGCGGGCGCGCGGGTCGGGGGCCCCCCCCGCGCGGCGGGCCCTGGAGGAACCCGGGCCCCCCCTCCTCCTCCGCGAACCGCCCCGAAGTCGAATTTGCACCCCAGGCTCTCTCTTGTCTTCCGCGACTCTGCAGCTCGTGTGCAGACTGCTGGTGCCGTCTGCGAGGATTCTAGTCTTGAGTTGCTGCTTGGTCCGCAGGTTCGAGCAGCCCGGGCTTTCACGGACGGAGCTGGGGTAGGAGAGCGACTGCGGACTTGATTTGCCCCAGACTTGCTTTTTTCGTCGAATCTACAGCGCGTGCGTAGAATGTTCGTATGTACATCTACGAATATTGTAAGTTTTTAGTTGTTTGGTCCGAAGGTTCGAATATGTCAACTGGGGGTCCATCGATCATGCAGTCGATCTCCTCCTCGACGAGCAGAGGGGGCGCGTGCGTGCGCGCGGGAAGCAACTCTCGACGTCGACGGCGCTCGATCGCGCCGCATCGCCGATTTGTCGGCGAAGTCAGGATCGAGAAGCTCGGGCTCTGGATGGCGCCGCGTCGCCGATACATCGCTGATGCGGCGCGATCCCCCGACCCCGTCTAATTACTCTGGCCCGGATCGAGGAGCCTGGTTGGGCAGCCTCCTCGGGTTGCTCCCCAGGGAGTCCCTGCAGGCCCAAGTGGGGCCCAACGCGCGCAGAAACCTCGCCCCTGAACCATCAGTCCTCGAGGGCGACGACGGCGCAAATGACTGCGACGACGCAGACGACGGATGCCGGCCTCACTCGCGGCCTCCAGGAGTCTCTTCAGGCCCCCTGGAAGTCCCGGAGCCCCACAGGAGCCCCGCAGGAGGCCCGCAGGAGGCCCGCTGGAGGCCGCGAGAGGACTCGAAAAGACGCCGAGCTTGTTCCTCGAACCTCGATCCTCGAGAAACTTGAATCGGCGGCGAGCGAGGGGGGGGAAATGAGATGGAGAAAGCCTTCTGGTAAGCTTCTTTGCCTTCGGGGAAGGCTTAGAACACTTCTCAGGAGGCCAGGGGACTTCCGAGCCTTCTGAGAAGGCCCGCCCCTTCTCACTTCCTCCCCTCGCTCGCCGCCTATTAAAAAGTTGAGCAGGGACCGACTGTCCTGTCCTAGGCCTACCACGACATGTTCTTAGAACCAGCATATGCTCTCATATCAGAAACAGAATTCTAAGAACAAAAAGCCGACGCGCAAACATAAGGCAGTCCCAGCCAGAAATGCTCGAAAAACATGTCGTGCAAACCACACAAAATTATCAGAACGTTCGTTGGTGGACCTGCCGGCAGGCCAGGACGCTTCACCGCTGCTTGAGAGAGGCGAGCGCCTCCTTGCGGTGCGTGCCGGCCGACAGAGGCGGCGGCGCGCGAAGGCGCGCGGCTGGTGCGGCCGACGTGGGGCGAGACGCCAGGCTCCCGGATCATCCACGACCTGGAGGCCCTGGTCGAACGACAGTCGGGGCGAGGAGGAGAATGAGGAGGAGGAGGAGGAGGAGGAGGAGGAGGAGGAGGAGGAGGAGGAGGAGAAGGATGACGAGGAGGAGGAGGCGGAGGAGATGGATGAGGAGAGGGAGGAGACGGAGGAGGATGAGGAGGAGGAGGCGGGAGGAGGAGGAGGAGGCGGGAGGAGGAGGATGAGGAGGAGGCGGAGGAGGAGAAGGAGGAGAAGGAGGAGGATGAGGAGGAGTAGGAGGAGGACGAGGAGGAGGAAGAGGAGGAGGAGGAGGAGGAGGATGACGATGATGATGAGGAGGAGGAAGAGGAGGTGGAGAGGGAAGGGGGGTTAACGAGGATGCGATCGGGCGCCTCCTTCCTCCTCCTCCTCCTCGTCCTCCTCCTCTTACTCCTCGTCTTCCTCCCTGCAAAGACGAGTCGTGTCAATGGCCGAATTTGGTACGGAAGGCGTGGGTACGAGGAGCAGCCATGACCCTCGAGCTTCGAAGTCGTTCGGCCGCAACGACGGACACCGCCAGTGCCAGGCCGCCAAGGGGCGCACCCGCCGCCCCGCGCGCTCGGCAGCGCGTTCGTCGCCGCCGTCGCTGCCGTTGCCGCCTGTCGTCGGCGGCGACGCCGCCACCGCCGCCGGTGGCCACCGCCGACGGCAGGAGGTGCCGAGGCTCCTTTGGCGGCGTGCACAAGAGGCGGAGGGAGGGGGGAAGGATTCTTAGAAGGAGGCTGCTTCTTAGAAGGCGCCGGCCTTACATCTGTAGCCCAGGCCCGCGCCTTCTGAGCAGGGCGGCTTCGAAGAAACCCTCCCCCCTCCCCCTACCCGCCTTTGCGCGTGGCTGGCTCTGGCCCTCGCGGAGGCCTCATGGTGCCTCCAGGGGCCTGAAGGGGCAACGATGCGGGGGGACTCGGCTCAGGGGGGGAAGCATCGACCTGGAAGCGGCGATGCATCGCCGATGGATCGGTGACAGGCCCTCGATAGCGCGTCTGCGCGCTCCTGGGCGGGGTGGGCTATCAGGCCCCAATCGGCGATGAATGAGCGAGCGGGGGTCGATGCGTGCACCCCCCTGAGCCTATCCCCCCCCCCCCAAAGAGTTGCCCCTCAGGACCTCTCTGGAGCCGTCCGAACACAATCATTGTGGTCGCCGTCGTGCCGCCGCCGCCGTCGTACCGGCGCTGGCGCTGGCGCCTCCGCCGCCGTTCCCAGACATCCGACTCTGGCGATTTCATCACAGTGTGGCCCTCCAGAGGTCTGGAGGGCCCCTTCTCCAGGACTGGCTCCTCCTCCTGGGCCGTCTTCTGCCGGTCCCAGGGCCTGGCGATGGCCCCCTGCGGCCGAAAATGGGCATAAACCCTTGCCCTACTGACATGTGTCGGGATGCGACAGGGAGGAGTCATTCTATGGAAAAGGAATGGACGAGGAGGATGAGGAGGAGGAGGAGAAGGCGGATGAGGAGGAGGAGGAGGTGGCGGCGGCGGAGGTAGGAGGGGGAGATAGGAGGGGGAGGAGGAGGAGGAGGAGGGGGAGGAGGAGGAGGAGGAGGAGGAGGAGGAGGAGGACTTGTGTAAACCAACGAGTCATCAACGATGTTGGAATTAACCCTCCCTCCAAGCTCCCTCTTCGTTGGCCCCTATAGCGATTCATTTCCATTGAGGGAACTGCCTCGTTGGAAGACAACCGTTTGGAGACCTTGAAGCATGCCAAAACATGGTTCTCGGGATTTCCACGCCACGGATCAACCTGACTGCTGCGTCCTGACGATCTGGAATCGTGCCAGAACGCCTTCTTTGTCTCAACGCTAACATGACTGTTGCACCCGCATAATCCAGAATCCTTCCGAAACATCATTTTTGGTACGTTGGTCATGGGAATCCGTGCAACCCTTGAAAATGTTTTAAAACAAATGTGCGCGGCGCTAAAGCGAGAACCACATTTTGAAAAGGAACCGCCCTCAATCCGTGAAGCTCTTGCAAATCTTTAAAACGAATGCGCGCGGCGCTAAAGCGATAACCACATTTTGAAAACCACCCGCCCTCAATCCGTGAAGCTCTTGCACATTTTCAAATAGAATTTGCGCGGCGCTTAGGCGAGAACCCCATTTTGAAAACCACCCGCCCTCAATCCGTGAAAGTGTTGCAAATCTCCAAAACGAATGTGCGCGGCGCTAAGGCGAGAGCCACATTTTGAACACCGGCCGCCCTCAATGCGTGAAACTCTTGCAAATCTTTCAAACGAATGTGCGCGGTGCTTAGGCGAGAACCGCATTTTGAAATTCAACCACCCTCAATCCGTAAAGCTCTTGCAATTCTCCAAAACGAATTGCACTCGGCGCAAAGGCGAGAGCTACATTTTGAAAACCACCCGCCCTCCATCTGTAAAACTGTTGTCATTTTCAGCTTCAGAACTATAAATGGTGAGGAAATCTCAGGCGAAACGCCTGGCCCGCCCTAAAACCTGGCCTCGGGCTGCGGCAGTGAGAAATTATCTTTAAGAAAAAGGAATGAGGAGGAGGAGGAGGGGGAGGAGGGGGGGGAGGAGGAGGAGGAGGAGGAGGAGGAGGAGGAGGAGGATGAGGAGGAGGAGGAGGGAGGAGGAGGAGGAGGAGGAGGAGGAGGAGGAGGAGGAGGAGGAGGAGGAGGAGGGAGGAGGAGGAGGAGGAGGAGGAGGAGGAGGAGGAGTGAGGAGGAGGAGGGGGAGGAGGAGGAGGAGGAGGAGGAGGAGGAGGAGGAGGAGGAGGAGGAGGAGGAGGAGGGGGGGAGGAGGGTGATGTTCCCCACACGAGAGGATGTCGAGGCCGTCGCCGTCGCCGGCGCCGGCGCCCCGGCGCCCGGCTCGGCTCCTGCTCGTCGTCCCGCGGCTGCGGCACGCCGTCGTCGGCGGCCTCCGCGGCGGCGGCCGCCTCCACGGGGGCGGGGTCCGCCGCCTGGGCGCGGCGGGAAGCCGCCGCCGCCGCCGCAGCGGCCGCTCCGAAGGCTTCTGTTCCTGCAGCCTTCTCTCGCCAGGTGCGAGGGGCGAACGTTCACGCAGGACCGGGGGAGGTCCTCCTCCTTCTCCTCCTCCTCCTCCTTCTCCTCCTTCTTCTCCTCCTCCTCCTCCTCCTCCTCTCCTCCTTCTCCTCCTTCTCCTCCTTCTCCTCCTCCTCCTCCTCCTCCTCCTCCTCCTCCGCTGCGTTGAGGCGCTCCTCTTCGTCGTAGTCCCCCGCCTTGCGCGCGCTGGTGCGCTGCTAGATGTGCTAGATGAGCTCGAGCGCTTGGGCTGTGATCCATGGCCGGGCTGGATGCCGCGGCGCAGTTGGCCGAGCTCGTTGAGCCGCCGTGTGGAAGGCTGCCCCCATGGCTGCTTCGAGGTCGTTCGCCGAAGCGTTCGCGTCATCGCTGAACTCGGCCATCTCGCTGGTGAACATTCCAGCGAAGCTGGGATATGATGCGAGGCTAACGCTCTCCTTGTACCATTCCAAACGCTGCGAAGCAGACGCGCCCATTCTGACGACACCAATGCAAAATCGATCTGGCCGAAACTGTCGGGGGCAACGTCGTCGCCAGGACTCTTTCCGACATTGTGGCGGGTGGCTCGTCGGGTGCAGCTTGGTGCAGACCTCGGCCAATAGGCTCCTGTTGGAAGCGGGGTTGTACTGAGCGTGCGGGCTGCCGAAAACACAGTCCCGTGATAGACTGATCAGCGGGATGCCGCCCCCGTGGAGGCGAGCGTTGACATCGCCAAATGCAAGGACCAAGCTCATCATAGAAGCGACGGCGTTCCTCCAGAGGCTCCCCACTGTTAGGGGAGCAGATACTGCAGAAAACGCCGTTCCTACCAAACACCCTCACCTTGATGGAAGCCATTCGCGACGACTCTTGCCTGAATCCCACCGCGCTCCTCCGAGCACGCGGTGATATCATGAAACCCACTCTCGCTTTCTCGTCTGCGGCGTCTTCCGGGGTGCCAGAGAGAACGAATCTCCAACCCTTGTGATATGGTACGAGGAGCCAATCGCATGTTTTTCTTGGGAGCAGAGGGTGTCAATGTGAAAACGGGTCATGTGCCACTCCGGGTCAACCCGCTTTCTTCCGTCAAACCCTCAGCGTCCCACGAAACAGCGCGCAAGCGACGTTCGCAAGGGAAGACACGCCCACCACAGATCAGATGGGCCTCTGCAGCAGAGACGGCTGCGGGGGGAACAACAAAATACGTACTATGAGACGTACTATGATGGATGTCTGAAGTACTTGTCATGGTATATTCAGTCTCGGGTACAGCGGGTGAAACAGGTGAAACATTGCTCGCGTGCCATGCGTCCTGTTGGGCCACCTGCCCCTTGGCGCCGCATTTGGCCGTGCCCTTCATGTGGGAGGACGGCTTGTTCAACAACTCCTGGCGCTTGCGCCCGGGCTTTTTGATCAGACGGTGATTGTGAAATTCCTCCCATGCCGCCCAATCACCCTGCCACGCATGCTGGGCCGGCTCCCCTTTCCGACCTTCACCGCGTACGGCGCCGTCTCGGAGATCTCGATGGCTTAGGCACCTGCCGTTCCGACCGGAACAGGCGCTCCAGGCGCCCCAAGAATGGTTGTGAGCAGCTCGATCTGCGAGAGAACAGTCTTGACTGGCCCAGATGGCCAGGGAACGGTCAAGCGCAGCAAGCATGCATCACTGAGCGACCCCACCGCGAAATTACGATCGACCGTGCTCCCGACCTCTGCAAAGATACGGCCTTTTAAGCGGGCCCTTGCCGTAGACCTTCCTTGCGAACGGCGCGTAGAGCGAGGCGAACTTTTTCTTCAGCCACTCCGTCGCGGTCCCGAGGTCCGTGAGACCTTCCACGTTCCCGACGACTGCAATGGTTGCGCGCTTGCTGAGGTGAGTGCTCCTAGGGCCCTAGGGGCCCTGCCTGACTGCTGCCCCGCATGCGCCTCGATGCCCTCCTGGATCTTCTCCTCCAGGTTGGCGGGAAAGAGCCATTGTTCATCAAATCGTCGCAGCTGGTCTCCAACTTCTGCACCCGCACATGCGTCATGCACAAATTCGTTCCGAAGGGCTCCAGGCGATCGGACAGCTTTGCCTTGAGGTCCCTGAGCTCTGTCATCGCCGCTGCCATCGGCTCCAGCTGGTTCTCGCGCAGCTCCGCAATGCCTGTCACGGTGGCCAGCTCCTGGCCCCCTGGGTCCAGCTGCCGGATGTTGGCCTCCCCATCGTAGCCGCCCTTGCCCATGCGCTGGTGTCCGTCCTCACGGGCATCAGCCAGGAGCGGGGTGGACGGAGGAGGAGCAGCGCGGCCACCCCGCGGCCTCTTCGCCTCCTGCATCTTCTCCCACGGGCTGTCGGAAAAGGTGCGCCGCTGGAGTGCCCGCCTGCCGCGCGCTGCCTGCGCCGGCCCCGGAGCGAGGCGGCGAAACGACATCCATGGGCGAAGGGGGGAGACGAGGGAGAACTCGGGTTCGCGGATCTCTGGGGATACGGCTGGGGCTGCGTCTGGGGATGCGGCTTGAGCCACACCTCTGGCAGCCGGAGAGCTGGATCCTGGAGCGTCCGCAGGGGGAGTCGGCACGCCTCGGACCTCGCCGATACTCGAAACTCCAAACTTCTCTTCGGCTCTTCGATCCGTGAGCCTCGAACGGCATCGATCCTCGATCGTCGGGCCGCATCCCTGCTCCATCCTCGAGAGCATCACCGGCTCTCGCTCCTCGATCCTCGAGCCGCGCCTCCTCGATCCTCGAGGCCTCGTCGAGGAGTCGGGGGCCGTCCGACGAGGGGGTGGCGTCCGAGAGGTGGGGCTCGCAGATCGTGGCCCGCGGCGCGTGCGCGGCCCGGGGTTCGGTCGGGCATGTCCTCCAGCAGGCGGGTTTCGGAAGCCACGTTAAACCGAGTCAGCACGTACTCAAAACTTGTCAAACCGGCACGGCAAGTCAGGCCCCGAGTATCTTTGAAACTCTTCTGGGATATTCCCCCTGTGGAGGGGACTTGCTCGACTTAAGCCCAGGGGGGGGGACAAGGGACGCGCCGAAAGAAGAGATGAGGGGGCCACGACATCCCGGAAGGCTTCCTGGCCCCGGACCTGATAGTATCCACACCCTTCCCCCTAGTCATCGCCGCCCTCTCGGCCGCTCTCATTCTCGAGCGTCACCGATCCTCGATCCTCGAACCACATCCTCGATCCTCGATCCTCGAGCCTCGCCGATCCTCGATCCTCGAACCGCATCCTCGATCCTCGAGGCTTCAGCGAGAAGGCCGCTGCCGCTGCCGCTGCAGAGCTGCGAGCGCGCTGGGGCCTGCAGGGGCTGCGGGACCGGCTGGGCCACCTCGGGGAAGGCCGCCTGCCGGCCGCCACCGTCGTGGTCGTGGTTGTCGTCGTCGCCGCCAAAGTCGTCGTCGTCGTCGCCGCCGCCACCGCCGCCACAACTCGTCGCCCTTGCCGTCGTCGCGGTCGTCGTCGCTGCTGTCGCGGTGGTGGTCGTCGTGTGGTGATCGGCGTCGTGGTCGTCGCTGTGTTCTTCGTTTGCATCGCCGTCGTGGTGGTCGTCGTCATCATCTTCCACCTTCTCCGATCTCCTCCTTCTCTTCCTCGTCGTCGTCCTCCTCGTCCTCATTCCTCCTCCTCCCATCCACCATCCTCCTCCTTCTCCTTCTCCTCCTCCTCCTCCTCCTCCTTCTCTTCCTTTCTTCCTCCACCTCCTCCTCCTCCTCCTCGCCTGCCCTTTTCCTCATTATTCCCTCCTCTTCTTCTCGCTCGTCGTCTTCACTGCCTCTTCATCGGGAGGAGGAAAAACAACGCCTAGCAAGAAACGGCCTCCTCCTCAACCTCAGCCTCAGCCTCCTCCCGGGACGGCCCTCGGGGGGCTGGAAATGGCGACGGACCTCAGGACACCTTCTTCTGAGGACAACATGGTTCCATTCTGAAGAACCTCGCGGGGAGGAGGGGGAGGAAGAGAAAGAGGAAGTGAACAAGGAAAGGATGATGCTGATGATGACGATGACGATGACGATGATGATGCTGATGATGCTGATGCTGATGATGAGGATGAGGAGGAGGAGGAGGCGGAGGGGGATGAGAGCGGCCTAGAGAAGCACCGAATTATCCCCTGAGGCATCTCATAGCTTTCCGCTGAGCCCACAAGCGTGCATGTGGCCCCAGCAACGCAAGGCGGATGGCGACCTTGACGGTCTTAGCGAGCCATGGCAAGTCTTGAGCGGCCAGATCGGACTTGTCGCGGGCGGAAATTCGACGTACCGCATAATTACTATCAAACGATGGACGCAATAGTGGGCGAGAGGAGGAGGAAGAGGAGGAGGAGGTGGAGGAGGAGGAGGAGGGGGAGGAGGGGGAGGAGGAGGAAGGAGGAGGAGAACCAAGAGGAGGGAACAACATATAGAGGAACAACACATGTAATAACCAATGATGCTCATGCCGTTTTGTGTTCGAGAGGAGGAGGAGAAGGAGGAGGAGGAGGAGGAGGAGGAGGAGGAGGAGGAGGAGGAGGAGGAGGAGGAGGAGGATGGGAGAGGAGGAGGAGGAGGAGGAGGAGGAGGAGGAGGAGGAGGAGGAGGAGGAGGAGGAGGAGGAGAAAGTAGGAGGGTGCCCTCTGACGCGGCATGCTGGCGAATGGCGGCCGCGCCTTCTGCGCCTCTTCGCGCTTCTGCCGCTTCGCCTGCACCTGGCCGCCGCGCCACCGCGGGGGCCGCACCCACCGCTTTGCAAGGCGGGGGTCAGGGATGCAGGGATGCGGGTGGTGACGATTCTGATGAGGATGATGATGAGGATGGTGAGGAGGATGCTAAGGGTGATGTTGATGAGGATAATGGTGAGGAATGATATGGTGATGGTAGTGGTGGCGGTGGTGACTATGATGACGGTGGTGATGAAACACATGATCATGCTTATGGTGACGACGATGATACTGATGCCGCTGTTGATGATGATGGGGGCGATGCGGCTGATACTGATACCGATGACGATGATGATGCTGATGCTGCTGATGGAGATGCTGCCGCTGATGACGATGATGCTTATTATTGTGATGGGATGATGCGGCTGATGATAGTGAGACTGATGCTGATTGTGGCCATGATGATGCTGCTGCGGATGATGATGATGATGATGCTGATGCTGATAATGATGATGACGATGATGATGATGCTGATGATGATGCTGATGATGATGATGATGATGCTGCTGATGATGATGATGATGGTATGTTGATGCAGCTGGTGCTGATGATGAGGGCGCACTCAGAGATGGTGGGATCCATGGCCAGGGTGTTTTTTTGGAGCTCGGGCCCTGTTTCACTTGTCAGGCTTGGGCGAGAGGAGGCATGTTTTCCAGACTCCTAGTCCCTGGTCCTGACCTGGCTGGAAAGGCGCCAAAGTAGGTTTGAGGCGGCTTGATTTGCGGACCGCCCCAATTTAGGATGTAGAGGGTAAAGGAGAAAAGGAGGATGCGGAGTGGGACGAGGAGGAGGATGAGGAGGAAGAGGAGGAGGAGGAAGAGGAGGAGGGGGAGGAAGAAGAGGAGGAGGAGAAGGATGAGAAGGAGGAGGAGGAGGAAGACGAGAATGAGGAGAACGATGAGGAGGAGTAGGAGAAGGAAGAGGAGGATGAAGAGGAGGAGGAAGAGGAGAAGGAGGGGGAGGAGGATACTGAGGACCAGTGTGGAGGAGGAGGAGGAAGAGGAGGATGAGGAAGATGACTTACGTAAACCTAAGACGCGCCAACGGTGTTGCAAACCATTCTCCCTTCAAGTGCCGTTCCTCATAGGTCCCAACAATAATGTATCTTCATTGCGGAAGCGCCCCATTTGAAGACAACCCTCTGCGAATCCCCAATCGTTTCAAAACGCTGTTCCTGGCACTGCAGCTCCGCGAATCAAATATTCCTAAATCGTGCGGGAACACCGTTCCTGAGACTTCAACACAACGAATCAACACGATTGTAACGCCCTGGCAATCCTAGACCGTGCCATGATACCATTCCTGGGTGTTCAACCCTACGAATCCTTAAACCAATTGCAACCTTTCAAAAAAGAATTGCGCGATGCTGAGGCGAGATCCACATTCTGAGACGGAGCCGCTGCTCACCCTTGAAACTTCTGCAAACTTTCAAAATGAATGTGCGTGGCGCTATCGAGGGTTAGGGGGTGAGATCGCGGTGGAACGGAAAACACCCCCACTGGGAAATCGGTTTCGGTTTCGTCTTCGTGTCGTGCGTGCGGGCGAGGCGAAGCTACGTGGGCGCGCGAGAGGAATGACACCGCCGTCGCTAGGGCGATTCGGATGCGATGGACCGCCCTTCCGCCCCGTCGGTGTTCCGTCAGCGGTGGGCGGGCGGTGGCCCAGGGTGTCCTGCCTTGGTATCGACAGTGAAAACGATCGGTAGATCGATAATGGTATCGCTAGAATGGGATGGATAGTGAGATCAGAAGTGAGATCGGCAATGAGGTTGATTGTGAGATTGTTTGTGAGGTCGATCGAGGATTCGATAGCTATATCGATAAGGATGTCGATAGTGAGGTCGAACACGAGATCTATAGTGACACCGACCGTGAAATCTATAGTGATATCGAGTGTGATCGATTCTGTGAGGTCGATCGTGGGATCGATCCAGTGAGTTCGAAAGCGGGGACGATAGTACCATTACATCGCAGCGCAGCATCGTCACCACGCGTCGTCGCTAACTCGAGGGCGCGTCATCAGCATCGTCATTCTCACACCCATCGCGTATGCCAGACATTAGTTCTTCCCCCCACCCCCGAACCTCCTTATCACCCGAAGGGTGGTCTTGCAAGTAGCGAGAACAGCAAATTGAAAACCATCCGCCCTCCATCCGGGAAGCTTTTATGACGAATGCGCGCGGCGCTGAAGCGAGCACCACATTTCGAAACTGCCCCGCCTCCAACCGTGAAGCTGCTGTGCACTTCAAGTTTCAGGGATCATCAATGGTGAGGAAGTCTCAGGTGGAACAACCGATCCGCCCTGCCGACACGTCTGGCGTCGCGACAGGAGTGGCTCACAAGGAAAAAAGGATGGCGGAGAAGCAGGAGGACCAGTGTGGAGGAGGAGGAGGAGGCGGAGGAGGAGGAGGCGGAGGAGGAAGAGGAGGAGGAGGAAGAGGATCTTTCCTCTGGCCCCGAGCCAGCGTGGACCCCCCGCGGCGTCGCGGAGGCCCCTGGCCGCGGCCGCCAGCTCCGCCAGCGCGCCTTCTCTCGGGTCCTCACCCCGAGCTGCGCGGCCTGCCGAGGCGACCCCTGCTCCCTGCTGGTCGCGCAGGGGCGCCAGAGCAGGTGCCGACGCAGGGCAGCCTCGTCGATGGGCGCCGGTGCGCGCCCGCGCGAGCAGATAGCCGCCGCCGCCGCCGCCGCCGCCGCCGCCGCCGCCGGGCGTGGGCACGCACTCCAGCCGCAGGTCCAGCAGGCTGAGCCACGCCCCCGTTGGGGGCGACGGGGGAGGAGGAGGAGGAGGAGGAGGAGGAGGAGGAGGAGGAGGAGGAGGAGGAGGAGGAGGAGGAGGAGGAAGGAGGAGGAGGAGGAGGAGGAGGAGGAGGAGGAGGAGATAGCCGCCGCCGCCGCCGCCAGGCGCGGGCACGCACTCCAGCCGCAGGTCCAGCAGGCCGAGCCCCGCCCCCGACACTGGCGAGGCGAGGCGGCCCGCCGGCGCCCCCGAGAAGCGCAGACGCAGTGCACCTCCGCCTCGCGCGGCGACCGCTCTGCCGCGCCGCCCGCCGCGGCTCGTAGGCCGACCTCGAGGCCGCGCAGGGCCCCGCGCGGGCCCTCCTCGCGCGCGCCAGCGCGGCAGGCCGGCAGCGCGAGCGAGGCGAACACCGCGACGACCTCGCCGTCCAGCCCGACCAGGTGCACTTTTCCAAATTCGTTCTGAGAGCTGTCGGCATTTCAGGAAATTATGCTTTTCTCCACTTTATCCGTTCCCAATCCGGCGTTGCCATGCTTGAAGACGTGCGCCGGAGCCTGGAGCTAGGCCTCCCGCAATTGCATCCATTTCTCCGGGCCGCCCTTGTTTCTTTTCTCTTGTGCTGGCGCCGGCAAGGCCACCACCGATCGAGCCCCCCTGGCCGTGGACGGCCTGCGCGAGGCCCTCGACGACGCCAGGGCGCCCGGGCTCGAGCACTGTCGGGGCGTATGGGCGCCGCGGCGACGGCGCCTTCGGGCGGGAGGCCCTGGCGGTGCACGGGCCGCAGCGCGCTCCGCTCCCGCGGGGGCCTCCTGCCTCCGGACAGCCCAGCGGCGGACCCGAGACGGGCCTCTGGGCCTCGGGCCGCTCTGGCCCCGAGGGCCCGGCGGCCACCTCCGACAGGGCAGCGGTGGTGGCCCAGGCCCGGACGCCGGCGACGTCGGCCGCATCGCTAGCCCCGGAGACGCCCACGGTGGAGTCCCGAACGGCCCGGGAGCAGCCCAAGACCTGCTCCACGAAGCCCCGCACCGCGGAGCCAGACGAGTCGTATACGGCAGCATGCCGAGGCTCGTCGGGAAGGCGCCCTTCTGCGTGCCGACCATGGTCCTCAGCTGGGAGTCCGAGGTGGCCCCGCCAAGGATCCGGTCGCAATTGCGGAGTCCAACGGCGCGAGCCCCTCCCGGAGGCCGTTCTCGAGTCCCTCCACGCGCATCGCGGGCAGATAGCACTGCTCCAATGACGCCCTCCCTGGCCCGCCCCCGGCTGGGGCAGCGAGCACCGGATGACCTGGGCGATCTGCAGGCCCGCGGCGTGCGGTGGTTCCGCCCGCGCCCACTCCTGCGACAGCCACCGCCGCGGCCCCTGGCTGCGGAACACCAGCTTTCGATTCTGGGACACGAGGCCGAAGCTATCACGCGTGCAGCACCTGCAGCCAGCTCAGCATCTGCGTCAGGCTGCGCACGACCTCGCCGCTGGCGTGCGCAGGGGTGTGCCCGCCGCCACAGTGCCGGCTCGACGGCCGCCTCGAACACGAGTGCCTGGAAGCTCGAGATCCGAGCGCCGATCTTCGACACGAGCTTGTCCAGCTCGCCCTCTGGCCAGCGCGCCCCGCCGCCGCTCTCCCCCGCTGGGCCGCCCAGGAGACCGATGCTCTCCTTCGCCTCGCCCTCGCAGAGCGCCATCTGCTCCGACTGCCGCAGCCAGGCGGCCTGCGCGAAGACGCGTGCCCCTGCTCGGCGAGCCCCAGCACTGCGGCAGTCTGCTCCCGGGCGGCGTCGCGGGACCACTTTTATGTCGGGCGTGTCCCCCTACAAGGGGATTTTCGACGAAAAATAAAAATACCCCCAAAAGGTCGAAACATACTCAACAAATATTCCCCAGACTATTTTTGGACGATTTTCAAGGTATCTTCTATTTTTCGTCGAACGCCCCCCCGTGTAGGGGGACAGGCCCGACTGAAGACCACTTGGGAGCCACGAGGTGGACGACGAAGACGGCGCACGCCACCCCGAGCACGGCGTGCATCATCCGCTCCAGCGCCGCGGTGGCGGCGCCCGGCCGCGGCCGCAGGGGGTCCTCCCGGCCCCTGCAGGATGCCAGCGCCCACCGCGAGGGCCGCCGGCCGCGCGGCAAGGATCGCGGCATGACCGTGCGGTGGGATTGGCCCTGGGAGAGCGCGGTGAAGAGGGGCCAGAGCGCGAGGCCGACCAGCTTCCAGCAGCAGGGCGACGCACATAGATGACCCACAACCGACCCAGGCGCAGCGCCTTCCTGGGCTGCCGCAGCAAAAGCCCCCTGCGTGACGGAACTTCGGGAAGGTCACCTCGATTGGCCCCCCATAATTATCTCGAGCTCGAGTCCTCCATTGAGGGCGGGGATGATACAGAAGAGCGCCGCCAACTCAATGGCCACGGCAAGCCGCAAAGCTGCGCCCAACCGCCCACGGTCGAGCCTCATCGCTTGAGGTATGAACGCGCGCAGCAGCGAGGCGCAGTGTGACCACCACGCCTGCCAGCATGGGCCGGATGCGGCCTGGCAGTGGCGAGACCTGTGGTCTGACAGGAGCTCTCCCGCGAGGGGCACGGTGGTGAAGAGGAAATTGTTTATGTGCAGGAGGTCCTCTATCCTCCGGTTCACCGACTGGCGCAATCCCACTGCCGCCTGCTCATGCGACTCCGACTCGGACGGGTCCAAGAGCTCCCGGCGGGCGCGACCGTAGACCGTGTGAAGCTCTGCGAAGGAGGCTCTCAGGTCCCGCTCGGCGTCGCCAGTCGCACAAGAGAGCGCCGCTTCCTCCGCGACCGTAGACCGTGTGAAGCTCTGCGAAGGAGGCTCTCAGGTCCCGCTCGGCGTCGCCAGTCGCACAAGAGAGCGCCGCTTCCTTCGAAGGCACGAGCCGACACGCGGCCGCGGCCAGCGACTTGAGCGGCTCCTCGAGGCGTGCCGCAGAGGTGCGGTGGCACGAGCTGAATGGCAGCGTTGCCGGCGCGCGCTGCATGGTGTTCAGCAGCGAGGCCGCCTTCTCGAGGCTGCGCGTGTCCTGCCGGAGGAGGGACCCCGAGCCGCGTGCGCACCACGGCTCCCCCCTGGGCTCGTCGAGGCACGCCGCGAGGCTCGCCACGCCGCACCTCGCAGCTCGGCCGAGCTCGCCCAGCTCCACCGAGGCGACGTGGCGGCGCTGGCTCCCAGACTCGAGGAAGGCCGCGACGGTCTCCTCGAGGAGCAGCCGCACGACGCGGGCCACGGAGCCCTGCGCCGTGCGCGCCCTGGCGGCAGCGAGCAGGGCCAGAGCGGCGCGGAGGGCCAGGAGCGTCGTCCCGAGAGCGCCGGAGCGCGCCAAGGCAAGTGGTCACCATGGTGCTGAGCGCCAGGCGCCGGGTGGCCCCGGGCAGCTCCAGGCAGGCCCAGCGCAGGGACGGCTCTGAGCCCAGGGCCCGATGCGTGCACGAGCGCGGCCAGCGGCACTGCCAAGGCCACCGCGAGCGCGGCGCCCACGAGGCTGCCGGCCGACAGGCGCAGGGTGGAGCCCAGGGGCCAGGAAGATCGCCGCGTGCGCCCCGAGCGCTGGCGTCGGCAAGAGCTGCGGTGCGTCGCAGGCCGCAGGCACCACGCGCGGATCGCCGGCCGCCTGTGCCGCCCAGAGCACGCTCGCCCGCGGCAGCGGCGCGCCCGACGAGCGCCGCGGGGCGCGGGCCGCCGCCGGCCGGCGCCGGGCTGTCGTCGCCGCCCGACGGGCCGCCGGCCGCCGAGGACGCCAGGGCCGGGCTCTCCGCCGAGGCCCGCCCAGCGGGGCGCCGCTTGGCGGCGCGCCTCGCTGCGCGGCCCTCGCGCACTCCGCGGATGGCGGGCGTCTCGGGCCACACTTGCGCCAGAAAGGCTACGCACTGGTTGACGAGGAGCTGCTTCCCCCCTCCCCTGGGGCCCCTCTCGACTTGGACGAGCGACGGCCGACGAGCGCGGCGGCAACGGCGACGGCGTCGCGAGCGCGGCCGGCGGCGATTTCGGCCGGCTGGCCGGCTCGACACCTCGTTCTCGGTGACGCGCTCCTTCTCGAGCTTCTTGGCCAACACGGCGGCAGTGCCCCACTGGACCATGTCCTCGTCGCCGGGCCATCGTCGTCGCCGACGTGGCCGTCGCCCCGGCCGCCGCCCTCGTCCCGTCAGCGTCGTGGTCGTCCTCGAGGGTGGTGCTCTGTGCTCTTCGCCCCCTCTTGGGGCTCCCGGTGGAGCCTCGTCGCCGCGGCTGGATTGGCGTCAAAGTCCTGCCTAGTGAGACCGTGCTTCGAGGAGAGGTCCCAAGGTCAGCTCCGTCGTCCCCTCGTCGTAGCCCAGACCTCCAAGCGTCGAGAAGACCTTGAGACGTTCCCCTCCAAACTTTTGGCACAAATCTGTTTCGGGCCCCGCAGTATTGACAAACCGGCTCAGGATAAAATCTCGTCCATGGGATAGGGTCGAGAGCTCAGGGACTACGTCACCGACAAATCCTGACGTCGGACGTCTAGGTTGTCGTCGTCGTCGTCATTGTTGTCGTCGTCGTCCTCCTCCTCCTCCGCCTGCTTCTCCCTCTTCAATGCCACCTCACGCCAATCGAAAGGCACTAGGGAATAAGAAGGTGCGTGTATGGGCACGCTGATGACGCTCCTCATGCTCCTCTTCATCTTCCTCCTCCTCCGCCTTCTCTTGCCCCTCCTCCTTCCCTGGGGAAATTGAGGCGGAGGGAGGGAGGGAGGGAGGGAGGGAGGGAAGGAGTAGGATGAGGATGAGGAGGGTGAGGAGGACGAAGGGGCAGGTGAGGAGGAGCGAACGAGCGACCATGCACCAGTGCAGCCGGAATGACGATAGCACAGCGCGGTGGATGGGGGCAGCAGAGGGGGTTATCAGAGATGCCAGCTGCGCCACCTAAATGGTGGCGATGGGAGGCTCCCGCAGGTACACCTCGCAACCATCATTCTGCACAAGGCAGAAGAGAAAGGCTCCCGCGGGTCCGCCTCGTGACTGCCGCTCTGCACAAGCAGCATGGGGCGCTCTGTGCCAGGCGTGGACCGCCCAACCAACGGCACCTTGCCCATAGAGAGGCCTCGCGCATGAGAGAGGATACGGTGCGCAGCAGCCATTCGCCAATCGCAATCTGGCGCAACCCCGCCGTGCGGGGTCACGGATGCCGGGGATTCCCACGCGCAGAGCTCGCCTCCAAATCACCTCGTGGCCCCGAAGGCTTCGGGAATCTGTGGAATGGCACGCGTCGTTTGCCACCTGCCGATGTTGTCAAGAAGCGTGGACTGGAGCTCCAGCGGTGGAGTGACGAGCAGGGAGGCGACAGAGCCGAGACCATCGATGAGGGCATGTGCTGAGCTCATGTCCAATCCGAGGTCCCAGGCACTTGCCACGATCCGCCCTGCCACTCCTGTGCATGAAGCCTCTTTGCAGCCGAGCATGTAGAATAGGATTGTCCCAGACCGCCCAGGCATGTCTGGCCACCAGCGCCGTCGTGGCATCAGACGCTGGGTCACGCCGTTCATCTTCTTGGGTAACGAGTGATGCCATCATCGACGCGTGCGGCCTTGCTCACACGAGCGCACCTGCGCCAGAACTTAGACGATGCAGAGAGGCGTCTGTCACCCCGCTGATGCCGGCGCCGTGGGCAGCGGCAGGGAGAAGGCCTGTCCGCCACAGCGCGCGCGCCTGCTCCCCGGCACCGCGAACGAGCACCCTGAGCTTGGCGCACTAGGCCACCAGCCCCGCAAGTCGCTCGCGCTCCCGGCTCGATGTGCAGCCCTCGCGTGAGAGCTGCGATGGCCCGCCTGGCCTTGTAGACCGTGAATAAAATGTTATCGCCTCGAACGTATGGTCCAAACCATTGAAAGGAAGCGCCGGCCACGAGCCATCGTGGTGCCACCTGAAAGAACAGATCTCGTTATGGTCAGCACTTGTCGTGGCAACGAACGCATCTTTCAGTTGCGTGCGAACCAAAGATGCACTGATGCGCAGTGTACTCATGGGAAAGAGCAGCCTGAACCTTGAAAACTCGTGGCCCATTTTGATAATATGATCATCTCGAAAGACTAGTGTTATGTATGTGCACGCTGATCGGCGCATAAATTGGCAGCTGAGCCAGCACTGATTGCAAGGCGTGGGGGCACGCCGCATCCACCGATGTGGCACCAGGCCTGGCCTCCCAGAAGGCCTCGTTGGGCTGGCGATCTCCCAGCTTCGCAGGATCGGTCTTCTCAACCTGCGCCGTATACGTGCAATCGCATGGATGGCGATCGAGCGGTGACCGCCATATTCCTTTGGCAGCCGAGCCATGTGCTGGCGCTCACACCTGCGCAGCAAGGCCAGTAGAGATTGCAACCCGAAGTCAGACACTTCAACACTTTTTTCGTCAATGGCGAGTCGGCGAACTCCGCTCCAGCGAGAAGCTAGATGGGAGCACTAACTGGCGAATTGGCCGGCGAGCAACGAGGGAGGGGGGGACGGCCGAGAGGAGGAAGGGACGCTCAGACGCCGAAGAGTTCGACGAAGAGCAGACACTACAACACATGCCCGTAAGTGAATGTTCAGCACCGAGTCGGAACACGCCTCAGCACCGACCTAGGGCATCTCCGACCGTCGGCGCGGGAAGGTCATCCCGCGCCTGCAGGTCACTGGCCAACTGGAACGGGTCGGTGTGGTGCGCCGCCCATCCGTTGAACCTTTTGTCCATCCACTCGTCCGCCATCTTGATGTGGGTGCGCTGCGCGATCCAGAGTCTCTTGGAGCCGACGGGCTCTGGCAACGCGGCGCGTCTGTCGTGCGCCACCGCTGAAAGACGGCTGAGCCCACCCCTTTGTTATTCCTGCTCTCGAAGTGCGCAATAGCCTGGAGACGGAGGAGGGAGGAGGAGGAGGAAGAGGAGGAGGAGAAGAAGGGAGGAGGGAGGGAGGGAGGAGGAGGAGGGAAGAGGAGGAGGGAGGAGGAGGAGGGAGGAGGGAGGAGGAGGGAGGAGGAGAGGAGGAGGAGGAGGGGAGGAGGAGGGAGGAGGAGGAGGGAGGATGAGGAGGAGGAGGAGGAGGAGGAGGAGGAGGGAGGAGGAGGAGGAGGAGGAGGAGGAGGAGGAGGATGAGGCGGAGGAGGAGGAGGAGGAGGAGGAGGAGGAGGAGGAGATAGAGGAGGAGGAGGAGAAGGAGAAGAAGGAGACGGAGGAAGGAGGAAGGAGGAGGGAGGAGGAGGGAGGGAGGAGGGGGAGGAGGAGGAAGAGGATGCGGAGGAGGAGGAGGAGGAGGAGGAGGAGGAGGAGGAGGAGGAGGAGGAGGAGGATGATGATGATGATGATGATGATGAGGAGGGAGGCTCGACCATCTGGGTCAACCTTACCCAAAAGTGCCTGCACGTCCTCGATGGGAGGCACCCTGTAGAAGGTCGCCTGCAGTTCCTCCCGGAAGGAGCGGCCACCACGATCCAGCAGATATCCCGGGCCCATCTGACCCGCGAGTCACGGTGGACGAACCTCTGCAGATCCAACGGCGAGCTCGGCGAAGAGCTCGGGTTCAGCCTGCACCACGTCATGGCCCGCGCCCTGCCCCCCAAGGCCTGAAGAAGGCGCACCGCAGATAGAGAGAGGGAGGGAGAGAGGGAGAGAGTGATAGAACGCGTCCAGCATGGCAGATCCTCGCGTCGAAGTCCAGCGGCTTCTGTGTGCTTGGGAAAACGTCCTGGCACGCCTGGCTGCTCAGCCTCCAGCCTCTCTGCGCGCGTGCCCATGCGCAGCTTCATTGACCTCATGTGACTGGCCAGTCGTCCAACCACCTTGTGCGCCTCAAGACGTCGAGGTGCTCTGCATTCAGGAGAACTGGACTGATTTCCACTCCCAGGATGGCGGGCCAGCCCGCCCTTGAAGCTGCCTCCGCTGCCCGCATTCGATGACGTCAGGTCGGCCGAGCACCTCGCCCTCCAAGCGAACCAGGATGGCATCCCAAGCGATCGCCAACTGCTTTGCATCATTAGCTTCCTAAGCTTCCTAAATCGAGCATCCGGCCATTATGCACTCTTCCAGTGGAGGGTAACACGCGCAGCCTGGGGGAGGAACGGGGTCCATAGATCCATGTTGCACTGGAGCTCGAACCCACACCTCATGCCCTTCGTGCTGCATAGGAACTGCGATGGGCAAATGTGGAAGTTTGCCAGCCCAACAGGCCAGAAGCGTGCTAAAATCTCCAGAAAGAGGTTCAGGAAATTTCGAGTTCGCGCGCGCAAGGCGGCACCCAGGGATCCCCCGGACGAAAACCACCCCGGTCGGGCTGGGTCCAGAAATGCCCGTAGCTCCTCGGCGCGGCCCAGAAGACGCCTCGCAGGTGGCAGGCCCACGGCTTCAGACCATGAGCGCCCCGAGATGGCCAACCAAGATTTCCAGACGGTCCCACTGGCGCCCAAGACGGCCCAGGAGAGCTCCAAGAGGACCCCAAGACCCAAGAAGCACACCTCGTTGATGTTGCTTCGGCTTTTGATAGATTTTCGGCGTGCCTGCCTTTTCGGGCTCTGGCCACCCAGGACAGGCAAGGAGACCGCCAAGATCGCACCACGTCCGCCCAGAACGCTCCCAAAGCAACCCCCAAAATCGCCCCAAGTCCGCCCACAAGGCAGCCCCAAGACGTCCCAAGAGAGCTCCAAGACGTTTCCCAGGTCCCCGAGACGGCCCCGCGAGGTGGAATCCGAACTCACATGTCTAGACGGCCCCACCGCCCAAAGCGCTCTCAAGACAGCCCTCAGACGTCAGAAAAAAGGTCCCAAGACGGCCCAAGAGGCCTCGCAAGAGAGCTCCCGGGGCCCCCGAGAAGGCACCACAAGTGGGAACTCGAACTCACATGCCGAGCCCTCTTCGAAAGATGGCCCTTGAGACCGCCAACGGGCGCCCAAGAGATAACAAAGAAGCTCCCGAAAGCCCACACAACTCCTCTGACAAACCCCTCAGGGGCCCCAGGAGATTCCAACATGGTCTCCAAGAGACCCCGAGAGAGCTCCCGTGACCCCCCGCTGGCCGCGGCGGCAGGGTATACGCAAGCACATCATCATCATCATCATCATCATCATCATCATCATCATCATCATCATCATCATCATCAACATCATCATCACGCCATCACCACCACAACCACTACCATCATCACAATCATCATCACCATCATGCCCTATCACCATCATCATCGTCATCGTCGACGCCACAACACTAATCTTCTTCTTCTTCTTCATCATCATCACCTCTATCATCATCACCATCAACATACTCACCGCCACCATCCACAGCATCGCCATCGTCGCCATCTTAATCGTGATCATCATCATTATCATGATCATCAGCATCGTCATCATCATCATCATCATCATCATCACTACAAGCAGCATCAACACCATCATCAACAACATAATCACTATTGTGATTACCATCATCATCACCACCATCAGCACCGTCACCATCATCATCACCATTGTCACTACCACCATCATCATCGCCATCATCATCAGCACCACCATCATCATCACCATCATCACCACCACCATCATCATCACTATACTCATCATCATCAGCACCACCACCACCAGCATCATCATCATCAACATCGTCATCACCATCATCATCACCACCATCATCATTACCATTATCATCACCATCATCATCATCATCATCATCATCATCAGCATTATGCTCAGCATCAGCATCATAATCATCATCATTATCACCACCACCATCATCACCATTATCAGCATCATCATCATTATCATTATCATCATCATTATCATCATCATAATCATCATCATAACCATTATCATTATCAGCATCATCATCATCATCATCAGCATCATCATCATCTCTATCATCATCATCGTCACTACCATCATCATCACCACCACCATCTTCACCATCACCATCATGACCACCACCATCACCATCATCATCATCATCATCATCATCATCACCATCATCATCATCATGCTCATTATCATCATCAACACCCAGATCATGCCCCTCGGCTTCCTCACGCCTTCCCGATTCCTCCTCCTCCTCCTCATCCTTCTCCTCCTCCACCTCCTCCTCCTATCCGCAACGTCCTCCATCTCTCCTCCTCCTCCTCCTCCTCCTCCTCCTCCTCCTCTTCCCTCCTCCCTCCCACCCTCCCTCCCTCCCTCGTCCTCCTCGTCCTCCTCCTTCCTCCTCCTTCCTCCCTCCTCCGTCCTCCCTCTCTCCTCCACTCTCTGTAGCAGGCTGGGGCAGTGGTGCTTTTTCGCCGCCAAAGTGGGCGGCCATGTCCGTCACCGTGTTCAAGGCACGAGCTGGCGTGTCCTGAGGTCCTCTGAGTCCTTAGTCCCCAAGACGGGACCACTCGAGCTGCACACATTACCAAGACGATCCAGGATGCGCCGCGGCGACGAGGACGCGGGCACACGCACGCGATGGGACAGTCTGGGCCGGCGGAATGACCGAAGCGATTGAACACATCAGAATCTTCGCAAACTTTGCAAGTGGACAGGCGCGTTCCACTACTCGCAAATCAGCTACTCGCAAATTGCCTGGATCCGCCACGGGGGGGTTACGATATATTACGTAGAAGAAGACCTGTATATTTCGGAGGTTCGTGAGCAGGCACTCTGCGAGCAGTGGAACGCGCTCGGCGAGCGAGGCCCAATACGGCAATCCAGTGCAGGCAACGTGCACATCATGTTTGTCGAGCTGAGCACCAGGCTTGGACTGCAGGCAAGTGGGGCGTCGTGGTTGCACCACGATGCCGAACAGAAAGCTGAGCCCTGGTCGCAGCAGGCCGGTGATCATGTGCCAGTCACCTGGGACAAGCCACCCTGGACCCTGAACATTCAAGGTCGTGACGCAGTCGGCAACCCGGGCGGGAATGTCAAGTTTGGCATCACTCAGCCCCGCACTGTACAGCACGCGGACTGAGATCATGGCGATGCCACACGTAGGGGAACGAGCAATGATTCAAACATACAAATCCGTCAGGGGGGGTCCAGCGCGGATCCGAGAGATCCGCGCGGCCCTCCGAGTTTTTATGATTATCTCATTGTTCGTCCTCCTAACACTTGGGGCTCCAATGCACATGAACTGTGAGAGCATGGTTGGGCACCAACTCAGCGTCATGGCGCCCTAGGGCCAGAGAACCTTTCATCACGCGGGGTCAGGGGCGAGAATAGCCAGACCACCAAAGGTACCGCCCTTGCTCTTGGATGGGGCCTCAACCCAGCCCCCACTGACGCCTGCACGAACTGCCTGATGCTGGCCGAACGTCCGCTAGTTACACCGAACTGGCATGATGTTCCTGAACGAAAACAAATGATACCGAGCCCAAGGAGGCTCGAGCCCCCCCCCAAAGACTATAACTAGGAAGAAATATTCGCCGTGATAACTTGCACAGCCGTGTCGCTGCCCTGGGGTGATGTCTTCGCTGCCGGCATAGATCCATCGTCTGGAACGGAAGTCTGGGTCACAGCCGCAGTCGAGGACGGGATAAAGACATCCAACCATCAAAGCAATGCACGTGCACATCGAACGTCATTCTTAGAGCTGCAGGGCGTCGTAGCGGTAGGGAAAAGGGAGGAGGCGGAGGAGGCGCGAGGAGGAGAAGCAGGGGGGAACAGGAGGAGGCGGAGGAAGCTGAGGAGGAGCAGCGTGAGGGAGGCGGCGCCAGGGAGGCAGGAGGGACGAAGGAAGGATGCACGTGGCCAGCGGTGCCAGCCCCAACCCGTGGCGACCGACAGCGCAGCGGGTGGGCGACACGCTGCCGCGGACCTCGGAGCGCAGCCTCGGCCGGTGCGGCTCCGGGCCAGGGCTGAAGCACACGCTCTCGGCAATCTCGCGGAGCATCAGCTCGCGGATCTCGCAGTGGCGGCTGGCTTCTTGCTCTCGCAGGGCCCAGGGCGCACACAGCGCTGGCCGATCGCACCCGACTTCTGGGGGGACATGGCACGGGCCGGCCCTGACACGACTGGACCTCGACAGGTGTGTTCGGGAGAGGGCGGCCGCAAAGCGAAGGCGAGCACGGACAGGACACAGAGGGGCGGCGGGAAGGACCAGGAAACATGTGATGGGCAACTTCTCCACCACCGCTACCATCTGCAGGACGGGGAAGAAGGGAGGATGAGGAGATCCTCCTCCTCCTCCTCCTCCTTCCTCTCCTGCCTATGGTGGTGGTGGAAAACGGGCCCATCGACATGATGTGCTTTCTCTCCGCTGCCGGGCGCCGCGGGGCGCCTCCGTGTTGGGGGCCCGCCGCGCGCGCCGAGGAGGACCGCCGCCCCGCGGCGCGTCAGGCGGCGCGGGGCGCGAGGCGGGGCGGGGGCCGCCGCTCGGGGAGCGCCCCCTCGGGGGGCCAGGCCCCGGCCGCGCAGGCCCCGCCGAGCGCCGCGCAGCGGCCCCAGAGCTCCTCGACGCGGGCCACGAAGGCCTCGTGGGAGGGCAGGTGGTACGTCACGTCGGCCATCCAGCGCGCGAAGGCCGCCCGGCGCAGCCCCGCGTGGGTGCGGAGCAGCGGCAGGGCGCCGAGGAGCTCCTCGGGCGTGTGGGCGCGGGGCAGCTGCCCGCGCCCCTCCGGCGGCAGCCGCTGGCGCAGCCGCTCCTGCACCCAGTGCATCATCAGGCTGTCGCCCGGGGCCATGCCCGCCTCCGCCTGCAGCTGCGTGTAGAGGCGCCCCAGGAGCCGGGTCCGGAAGGGCGACGGGTGCCCCCGCACCGCGTCCACGAAGAGGTCGACGTCCACCAGCCGGTCTGCAGTGGCAGGCCGCTCGTGCCCCCCGTGCTGCACCGCAAAGGTCTCGGCGATCAGGTCCGCCTGCTCCGCCTGCAGCCGCACACCGCAGTCCAGGGAGAGCGAGTGGAGCAGCGCCTCTAGCGGCACCCGGGCCCGCTCGTCCAGCTTCGGCGCCTCGTCGGCCCCGGGCACGTCCACGACCTCGCCGAGCTCCGCGTGCTCGATGGCCACGGGCTGGTTGGTGCCGACCGCCTTGCGGAAGACGGCCAGCGCCATGGGACCCCGCGCTCTGACCCGCGACAGAATGGTGCGCCGTAGGCGCTCCCAGCGTGCGAAGCGCGTATCTGGGCCCGCGAGGGCCGCGGGGGTGCTCCTTGCTCGCTGCGCGTCTGCGAGGGGCGCCTCCAGCGCCCTGCCCAGCAGCGCGCGGGGCGTGCCGGCGTGCGCACACTCGCGGTGCCTGTCGCAGGCCTCCAGGGCGGCCGCGTCGAGCGCCAGCCTCTCAACCAGCACGCCTGGCGCGTCGAGGCCGCCGCCCTCCAGGAGCCACTCGCGCCCGCCCCCCGCTGCGCCGAGGCTCACCGTGCCGCCCGTGTTCGACGAGGCGGGCCGCAGCGCGCGCAGGCCGTGCATCAGCGTCGGCGGCGAGGCAGGGGAGACCACCACGTGCCTCCGCAGGTCCACCGGCGCGCCCAGCAACTCCTCGGGCGCCTCGTGAGGGGCGTGCGGTAACAGCCTGAAGGAGGTGTTCCAGGCCTTCTGCTCCTCCCGGGGATCGGGGTGCAGCGCGGAGGCGTAACGCCCGAGCACCAGGTAGGCGGCCCCAGACCCGCCCCCACGGCCTGGCGGCTCGCAGGACAGGAGCAGCTCGTCGCCGCCGTCGAAGCTCGGCCGCTGGCCCAGGCGCAGCAACTGCCCGTACCGCACCACGCCGTCGTCCGGGAAGCCGTCGAGGGGCTCGGCCCGATAGACCTGCCACGCGAATCGCACGCCGAGGACGCCCGCCGGCCGGCCGCGCAGCGGCACGGCGGTCGCCGCGGCGAAGCCTGCAGCGGCTCGGCCAGAGCTGGAGAGCTCCTCGGCCAGGCGCGCCTCCGCCTGGGCGCTGGCGCCCGGGGGCGCGGACGCCAGCGCCGCCTCCTGCCCCTCCGCGGAGGCGAAGAGCAGGCGCACCGAGTCCCCGAAGCGGAGCTCCGCGCCTGGGCCCTCGGCGGCGGCGGCGGCCGCGGGGCACCGCGCGGCGGCCAGCGGGCGCTCGGAGTGCCGGAGCAGGTCCGCCCCGGCGCCGCCGGCCCGCGGCGGCCAGGGGGCGTCCCGCGCGTCTGCCGGGGCCTCCCGGCGGACCGGCTGGCCCAGCGGCGCGGCGCCCGGCTCCGCAAGCGGCCGGGGCTGTCCCAGGACAGCCGCGGCCGCGGCCACCACCGCCCGGGGGGCGCTGCGGGGCGCGCCGTCCCCGTGCGGCGCCGAGAGGAGGAACTTCGGCGGCTGCCCGGGCCCGAAGAGGCTGGGCGGTGCCAGGTGCACCAGCTTCCTGTCGGGGGAGCGTAAGACTCGAGCAAACCAGAACTCGGGTCTGCCGAAGTCATCTGACGAGCGCGTCCTGGATTTTGACGGTCAGTTTTCGTGGGATGTTTGCAGCGGGAGCTCGCGTCAAAACTCAGAGTGGGCCTCTTCATTGTCACGATGGCCCCGGTCAGGTCAACCCGAGTCCCCCGCATCCCAGTCTTGCGTCTCCCCGATCCTGTCTGGTGCACCTGCCGTGGCCTCCATGGCCGGGCACCCGCCGCCGGCGACCGCGCGGAGAGATCGGCAGCTGGAGCCAAAGTTTGGCCGCGGAGGGCCAGGAAGCAGGGGCGACGACGAGGACGGAAGAGGGAAAGGCAGAATCGGGGCAGCGCCTGGCTCGCCCCTCCTTGGTTGGGGGGAAGGCTTCTTAGAAGCACCCCTGCTCCTTAGAAGGCGCGGGCCTCCTCTGTAAACGCAAGGCCGGGGCCTCCTAAGAAGCAGCCTCCTCCTAAAAAGCCCTCCCCCTCCCCCTCCCCCCCCTCTGCGCGCCGCCAACCTCCTCTTGGTGTAACGTTTCATGTGGCGAATTTCGGAAACCCTGAGCCCGAAAACGTTTTGCTCTTGGGGGCACTTTTTTTACTTCCGCCGCTATCCGCCGAGCTTCCTCCAGCTTGAGCCAGCGGAGGCGGTATCGTTTTACTTCCGCCGACCTTCCGCCGAGGAAGAGATGACAACTCCTTCAATCCTCGAAGGCCAGGCCCTTTTTGGAACCCCTCATTTGTCTTCTTTTGTTGACCCTAATTGCTTTTGATGGGTCCCTGCTCCCTGTCTGCTATCTCGACCCAGTGACCTGTCGCAAAAGAGGTGCGCACCCTGGCCATGAGAACGGCGCGCACACACGCGGCACGCTCTTGCCAACGTGCAGTGGAGGCCAGTCCACACGAAACCTTCCACAAGAAACCCAACCCTGAGACCCCAGGACGTCCATTGATTGACTTTTGGCGTGGGAGCGTCACGCTTTCCGTAAAAAAGACAATCGAAATCCAAGAAACCCAGGGCACCCTGGAGGCAAGCAGAGTGTTTCTTGGCATGGTCCACGCTGTATTACCGATCACAAATCCTGCTAAAAAAAGGGGCGCACTCTCCGTCGGTCCTTGAGGGTCCTAAGGTGCCCTGGAGCATTTGTGGGTCCCTGGGGCCATCGGGGGATCAGACATTTGAGCGGGGCACCTGCTGACATGCTGGTTCCTTGCTTGATGTGCCTTCTGTATCGCGCACTGTGGGGTCTTCTCCTCCTGGTCCCGATGCCCGAGACTGGCCGTGAAATCTGACGTCGCGAAGCACACGAATCAGCCTCGCGAGAGAGCGCGACCGCAACCGCAAACGCTAATTTGATTTCCGCACCGTGTGTCGAGCCTGATTCGGCCCGTGAAAGCCCCGAGGCCCGAAGTTGGGCGAAAAAACGCCCAGTGCAACAAACATTGCGGCGCCTGCATCTCCGGCCCCGTCCCAAGAGGGTGCTCAACCTTGGAACGCCAGAGGAGGAGGAGGAGGAGGAGGAGGAGGAGGAGGAGGAGGAGGAGGAGGAGGAGGAGCGCACGTAACCTGAGATGGTTCGTGGTGACCTGGGCACTAGACGCGCATGGCGGCGAGTGCGGCGGCTCGGATTTCGTAGTGGTATGGCGGCGTCGGTAGCCGACGGCGCGAGGAAAGGTCAGCCTTCAGCTTGTGATATATGTGAAAGCTGAGGACAGTGATGTGATGGCAGCGCAGACGAGGATACTCAGCCTCTGGATCGGGCACACCTCCGAGACCCAAACGAGTGAGATGGGGAGACGGGAAGAGACCCTCGAGGAAGAGCGAGGAGGTGCAGGAGACGAGGACACACACGAGGTAGTGGGGGAACTCATCTGGGTCGGAGCAGCCGAACAGGCAGGAGCATACTGGGGCGCTGGGAAGCCTGGAGGACGTTGTCCAGGCCCCTGCAAGTGTCTTTAAATGGGCCCAGGCCCAGGACGGTGGCGTGCGACTGAATATAGCGCGGAGGGCCTCCCAGCGCCTCTGCAGGTCTGGCTGGGCAGGGGCGGAGTCACGCGGGACCCATTCGGGGAGGCGGCGACGGAGGAGAGAGGGACGGGAATCAGGGAACAGGGGCGACGAGAGGAGACGGGAGAGGACACGTTGGGGGCGTGGGCGGCGAGCGTCCTGCGCCGCTGTCGCGAGCTCGGAGGCGGCTGCCGCCGCGGCGGTGCGCCAGGCCACAGCATCCACTTTCGGTGGTGGGGCCGTCGATGCACACGAGGATTCTAGGAACTCGACAATCGATGTCGCGCGAACCCAGCACTTGGGGGAGGATCGCCCCCTCCCGAGGTCATGGAGCGTGCCGTGCAGTTGGGCATGGACCCGCAGAGCCTCCAGAGGTGCCCCCCGCCCTCGCGGCCCAGAGCGAGGGAGGGTAAGCATGGCCGTCCGCCACGCCGACGCAGCAGCGAGAACACAGGCGGATCGTGGGACAGCAGATGGGAGCCAAGAGCTGATGCTGAGGAGCTCGCAGAGGCCGAAGGAGTTGGGAGGGGGACGGAGGAGACGGTGAAGGACGCGACGCTCCGACCGGAGGAGGGACGGGGGCAGAGGGAAGAGCTGACAGACATAGCTAAGGACAGGGAGGATGCAGAAATTATAGAGCCTACCGCTGGCCTCTGCTGGGGAGCGGGATAGAGCAGTCTCTATGGTGCGGGCGCGCCATTTCTGGGGCGGTGCGGCCCGCTGCCGCTCGAGGGAGGCGCCAGGGCCAAACTCAATGCCCAAGAAGGTTGTGTGGCCGCGCACGTGGAACTCAGACCACTGCGGGACAAGCTCTACAATCAGGGTTTGAAATTCTGCCCCCACGGCTGGGGTGCACGATTCCGCCGAGGGAACGACGCAACACTTCTCGGGCTGAAATGTGAGATTCGCTAGAGTGCGGGCGGCGTCGAAAGGGGGGGCCAGGGTGGGGAGGAGCGAGATCGAAGGGAGGGCGAGCCCCGCACCGTCCGCCGTCGGTCGCTCCACATTCAGGGTGAAGCCCAGGACGCAAGCTGACAAACTGAGGGCACATATCACGGGCAGACGGGGAAGCGATTTGGGCCTCCAAGTGGCGCAGAAAAGGGGTCCATGCACAGGGCCCATATGGTGCCAAAGAGGGGGCGTCCTTGGGCGACCCCTGAGGAGACCGCAAAGAGCGGGGGCCTGGCGGAGCCGCATCGGGCATGGGCGAGAGCCCCTGAGTAAAGGGCAGAAATCACATTCAGAAAACCCGTCGGGATGCGATGCCGCTCGAGCACTCGGTGGAGAAACGCCTGGGAGAGAGAGAGAGAGAGAGAGAGAGAGAGAGAGAGAGAGAGAGAGAGAGGGGAAAGCAGCACGGAGGTCGAAGGAGACAGAGGCAGGGGAGAGGTCGGGGTGATGCCCCGCCGCCCGAGCGATCGCATCCTGGCGGACAATGTGGCCGAGAAAATTGCGACCACGAATAAAGCCTTGCTGAGCAGAGTGCGCACGGCGGGCAGTCAGATGACCTAGCTGGATGTTCGTCGCCGACGCCGCCGCCTTCGCATCAGCGTTCTTCAGGCTCAAAGGGCGGAGGCGGCCAGGCGCCCTGGCCAAGTCGAAAGCGTCAGACGGCTCCGATCCCTTGGGAATGAGGGCCATGTCCGCATAGTTGAATCCCAGAGGGGCACCTCCACCCTCGAAGAGACGCAGCATCAGGGAGTGAAGGGCTCCGGATAGTCGGTTGTCCGCCATCCAAGCTTTGGCCATCAGGCGGTCGGGGCCAGGCGCCGAGGGCCGTGCGCGTCGAAGGGCAGCGCAGAGAGCGTCAGCAGAGGGACCATGCAGGGAAGGCGCCTCGTAGTGGGGGAGGTGCATGTCCAGGTAGCGGTCGACCGGGTCCATGTCCACGGGCTGGTCGGTGAAGTGGGGCTTCCAATGTGAGCGCAGGGCGTCAAACACGCGCACTGGGCCCCGCTCGATGGAAGCACAATGGCCGTTGCCCTCCAGGCACGCTCCAGCAAGGACCAGACGTCGGCGAAAGGGCGCCCAGAGCATGGCCCTGCGCTGCGCGGTCCGCTGGAGCTTCAGCAGCGGCCACTTGTCGGGCCCCTCAGCACCAGGTCTAGGGCGAGCTTCCTCTCGGAGCCGAGCAGCGGCAGCAGCCCGCTGTCGCTCGTGCCATGCCGCGTGCAGCAGGCGACAGTCGCTCTCGAAGTCCTCAGGGGCGAGAAGGGGGACCGACTCGTCAGGGCAGAGCGCCGGGGCAGAGACGTCGTTTGCCTCAGACGGCGTGCGAGGTGGGCGTCTTGACGCCAAACAGCACGAGCGATGGCGCGCATGGAGAGCCTTCTGCCGTCCTCCGCATCCTCGCTGTGGTCGCCGATCGGGAGGGCCTGGATCTCATTCCTGGTCAGGCGCGCCGCCTCGGGCATGATATCCTTGACGAGGGGCCACCGTGGGGCAACATCCAAGGAGTCCAGGTCGGCAACGTCCAGGAGGGTCTTCACGTGCTTCACATGCCGATGGGAGCTGAAGATGTTCGGCGGGATGGACTGCTCGGTGATCTCTGCGGGCGAACGAGCCCAGATCTTCAGCTGGATGATGGCGTGGTCGCTGAGGCCCCAGTCCGCCGGCGTTGCGGCCTCCTGCCAAATCTCAAACTAGATCGCCGTGTTCGAGATGGAGTGCGACTTAAGAGAGACGAAGGCGCGATTAATGAAGGAACAGGTCTGGTACTGCTTGGAGTAGTGCGTGGGCAACTCACATGTCATCTTAGCTAGGGCTTGCTGAAAGAGCGCTCGCCAGAAGCCTTGCCCCTGGTTGCCGCGGTGCCAGACGGAGCGGCTGTTGCCCGCCCTATGCGCACAGCGTCTTTCCGAATCTGATGACGACGAGGAAGAGGAGCGGGCGCCGCTGCCAATCTGAGAAGGGGGCCAGGGGGAGACCGCGGCAGGGTCGGCGCTGGGAGACTTGCAGTGGGCAGCGGCGGGCCTCTCCAGGGAGAGGGGCTCCAGATCGGCAGTGTTGAAGTCGCCGATGGCAGCGAAGATGCGGTGGCGTTCGTCAGCTTGCGCCCAGCGGGCGCCCTCCATCCAGCTGCGTTTGATGGCGCCGAAGGAGGGCTGCGGAATGTCATGGTTGTGGATATCGAGGAGGCGGATGTGCTCGTTGGTGTTCCCGTTGGAGATGGGGAGATCAGCAGCGCGACCAGGCGCCAGCGTCGACATCTTGATGGTGGGGGGCAGACCCTGGCCCAGCGAGCGCAGCTCGGCCTCGGAGAACCACGGTACCAGGAAGGCGAGGCCGCCCGTGCCAGGGTTCGCACCCG